CCTACCGGGAAATCGATTTCGGTTTCGTGTTCGTGCGTGCCGTGCGTGCGGGCGATGCGAAGCTGCGTGGGCGGGCGAGAGAAAGTCTCCTGTGGCTGAGGCGCGGCCGGACCAAATGATTCTCCACCGGGCGGCCGGTGGCCCACGGTGTCCCGCCGGTGTCCCGCGAAAGTCCCGTGTGGCTGAGGCGCGGCCCGACCAAATGATTCCCTTCCGGGCGGCCGGTGGCCCGCGGTGTCCCGCCGGTGTCCCGCGAAAGTCCCGCGGTGCCCCGCGGTGTCCCGCCAGTGTCCCGCGGTGTCCCGCGATGATGATGATGATGATGATGATGATGAGAGGATGAGATGATGATGATGATGATGATGATGGTGATGATGATGATGCTGCTGCTGATGATGTCGTCGATAATGATGATGGTGATGCTGTTGATGATGATGAGGACGATGATGATGATATGATGATGGTGTCCCGATGATGATGATGCTGTCGATGATGACGATGATGATGCTGATGGTGTCCCGATGATGAGAATGATGAGGATCATGCTGATTATGTTGATGATCATGATGATGACGATGATGGTGTCCCGATGGTGATGAGTATGATGATGCTGATGTTGATGATGCTGATTATGATTGTGTCCCGATGATGATGATGTTGATGAGAATGATGTTGATGATGATTATGGCGTCCCGATGATGATGATTATCCGGATGGTGATTGTGAGGATGTTGATGATGATGGCGTCCCGATGGTGATGATGATGATGTTGAGGCTGATGTTGTTAATGGTGATGATGGTCCCTCGATGATGACGACGATAATGATGAAGCTGATGATGATGTTGATGATGCGGATGAACATGATGATGTCGATGATGAGGATGAGGTGATGCTGATGGTGTTCCGATCATGATGATGCTAACGATGGTGATCATGATGGTGTCCCGATGATGATGCTGATGATGATGATGGCGATGACAGTGTCCCGATGCTGTTGATGGTGATGACGATGTTGATGATGCTGATTGTGATGATGGTGATGATGGTGGTGTCCCGATGATGTTGATGACCGTGGTGATGCTGATGTTGGTGTTGATGATGAAGACGGTGTCCCGATTATGATGATGTTGGTGATGATGCTGTTGATGTTGATGTTGTTGTTGATGATGATGATGACATTGATTGTGAGAGCGATTGTGATATCCATAGTGAAATCGATAGTGAGACCGAATGTGATATCGATTGTGATACCGATTGTGAGATCGATTGTCGAATCAATTGTGAGATAGATCGAGTGATATCGATTGTGAGATCGATCGAGGGAGATCGATCGAGCGATACCGATACTGAGATCGATAGTGAAACTGATCGAGTGAGACGTTGGTTCCTCCCCCCCCGAACCTCCTTATCACCCGAAGGGTGGTCGTATAGGTATATATATACATATATATACATACATGTATATATAAATGTATATATATATATATGTATGTATATCGAAGGTGAGGGGGGGTGATACCGAAGTGGAACGGAGAGCACCCTTACCGGGAAATCGGTTTCGGTTTCGTGTTCGTGCGTGCCGTGCGTGCGGGCGAGGCCAAGCTGCGTGGGCGGGCGAGAAATAAGTCTCCTGTAGCTGAGGCGCGGCCGGACCAAAAGTCTCTCTTCCGGCAACCGGTGCCCCGCGGTGTCCCGCCGGTGTCCCGCTCGGGGGCCCGTGGCGCGCGGTGTCCCGGTGGTGTCCCGCCTGTGTCCCGTCGGTGTCCCGATGATGATGATGATGATGATGATGTTGATGATGTTGACGATGATGATGATGATGATGATGATGGTGGTGATGATGACGGTGTCCCGATGATGATAGTGATGTTGACGATGCCGATGATGATGGTGATGGTGGTGAAGATGGTGGTGCCCCGATGATGTTGATGGTGCTGATGTTGCTGATGGTGATGGTGCCCTAATGATGACGATGTTGATAATATTGATGATGTTGATGATGATCGTTTGATTTGATGGTGATGATTGAGATGATGATGATGGTGTCCCGATGATGATGAGGTTGATGGTGATGCTGTTGATGATGATGGTGATGATGATGGTGTCCCGATGATGGTGATGAGAATGATAATGATGACGATGATGGTGCCCCGATGATAAGTGGGATGATGTTGATTGTGAGGATGATGATGCGGTGAAGATGGTGATCTTGATGATGGTGGCCCAATGGTGGCCATGATGATGCTGATGTTGATCATGGTGATGGTGTCCCGGCGATGTTGAGGATGATGATGGTGATGATGGTGATGGTGATGCGTGATGGTGCTCCGATGATGATGGTGTTAATGATGATGCTGATGTTGCGAATGATGATGATGGTGTCCCGACGATGATGATGGTGATGTTGATGATGTTGTTCATGATCATGATGATAATATGCTGATGATGGTGGTGCTCCGATGATGATGATGATGGTGCCCCGATGATGATGACGTTGATGATGATGATGATGGTGGTGGTGACGGTAATGGTGTCCCGATGATGATTATGATGGTGGTGAGGGTGTTGATGATGCTAGTGGTGAAGTAATGATGGTGGTGTCCGGATGATGCTGATGATGACGTTGGTGACGATGATGATAATGATGCTGATGCTGATAATGACGTTGATTCTGATATCGATCGTGAGATCGACAGTTAGACCGAATGTGAGATCGATTGTGAGATCGATAGTGAGATCGATAGTGATATCGACTGTGAGATCGATAGTCAGATCGATTGTGATATCGATCGAATGAACTAGATCGAGTGATATCGATTGTCAGATCGATCGGATGAGATCGATCGAGCGAGACACATAGTGATATCGGTAGTGGGATCGATAGTGTGACCGATCGAATGAGACGTTGGTTCCTCCCCTCCGAACCTGCTTATCAACCGAAGGGTGGTCGTATAGGTATATGTATAGATCTGTGTAAATTTTCACATATATATATGTATGTATATATATATATATATATGAATAGGTACAGAAAGAGAGAGAGAGAGAGAGAGAGAGAGAGAGAAAGAGAGAGAGAGAGAGAGAAAGAGAGAGAGAGAGAGAGAAGGAGAGAGAGAACAGAACTGAGATCCGGGCCTGCATCTTGTATCCTGGCGTTCGCTGTGGCACGAGGTGCAGAGGTGGGCGCTGAACAAAAGCATGCCCGCCCAGCTTCGTCAAACCACCCCATCAGCCCTCCAGCGGGCGCACCGGCCCTCCTCCTCCGCCTCCTCCTCCTCCTCCGCCTCCTCCTCCTCCTCCTCCGCCTCCTCCTCCGCTTCCTCCTCCGCCTCCGCCTCCTCCTCCTCCTCCTCCTCCTCCTCCTCCTCCGCATCCTCCTCCTCCTCCTCCTCCTCCCTCCACCTCCTCCTCCTCCTCCTCCGCCTCCTCCTCCTCCTCCTCCTCCTCCGCCTCCTCCTCCGCCTCCTCCTCCTCTCCGTCGCGACCCCAGGCGTCCCAGTCCGAAGGGGGCCCCTGGGACAGGCGGTCGGCGCCGCCGCGCGCCGTGCTGCGCCCGCGCGCGCAGCGCCGGCACTCGCCTCCTGCTCGCCACGCAGCGGCGGCGCCGCCACATCCTCCTCCTCCTCTTCCTCCTCCTTCTCCTCCTCGTCCTCCTCTTCCTCCTCCTCGTCCTCCTCCTCCTCCTCGTCCTCCTCCTCGTCCTCCTCCTCCTCCTCTTCCTCCTTTTCCTCCTCCTCCTCCTCCTCCTCCCCCTCGGCGTCTTCTGGCTCCTCCTCGCCCACTGCCTCCGTCATCCCTTTTCCTTATAGATAACTGCTCCCTATCGCGCCCCGAAGCGCGTCGGTAGGGCGGGCCAGGCGTTTCGCCTGAGGCTTCCTGTCCATTTATGATCCTGGAGCTTAGAAGTTGCAAGACGTTTTCAAAAGGTGGCTCTCGCCTTAGCGCCACGTATTCAGAGCGGGTGGTTTTCAAAATGCGGTTCTCGCGATAGCGCCGCGCGCACATTCGCTTCAAATATGTGGAAGAGCTTTAGAGCCGGAGGGCGGTTCCTTTTCAAAATGTTGCTCTCGATTTAGCGCCACGACCACTCATCGTACAAGTTTGCAAGAACTCCACAGATGGAGGGCGGGTGGCTTTCAATATGTGGCTCTCGCCTTGGCGCAGCGCGCTTCGTCGTGCAAACCCGCAAGAACTTCACGAATGGAGGGCGATTCCTTTCAGAATGTGGCTCTCGCATTAGCGCCGCGCACATGTGTGTTACAATTTTTCACGGGCTTCACGGATGGAAGATGGGTGATATTCAAAGTGTCGCTCTCGCCTCAGCGTCAGCGCCGCGCACTTTCGTCTGAAAAACTGGCAACATAATTTGACGGACGGAGGGCGGTTCCTTTTCAACACGTGGCTTTCGCCGTAGCACCGCGCACATTCGTTTAACAAGTTCGCAAGAGCTTCACGGATGGAAGGCGGTTCCTCTTCAAAATGTGGCTTTCGTCCCAGGGCCGCATACATTCGTCGTTAAAGTGCGGAAGAGGTTCAGGGATGCAAGGCGGCCTTAGCGCCGCGCGCATTCATTTGAGCATTTTACAACTGCTTAACGCACTGCTTAACGGATTCTTAGCGTTGACGTGCTATGCATGGTGTTCTGGCACGAAACAGGTTCGGAAGGGAACAACAAGCACGCCGACTTGCGGTGTTGAGGTGCCAGGAATGGTGTCCTTGCGCGAGTCAGGATCGCCAAAACGCAACAGTACATGTGACTCGCGGCGTTGAAATCTAAGGGGTGGTGTTCTGGCACGATTGAGGATTCTCAGACGGCTGGTCTTCCAAAGGGACATTTCCAGTAGCGAAGCAATTTTGTGAGGACCTTTGGCGAGGGACCCTGGGGGGAGGGCTCTTATGGCAACATCGTTGATGCGTCTTGGGCTTACTCTGGTGGTCCTCCTCCTCCTCCTCCTCCCTGGTCCCCCCCCTGGGCTGGGCTTTTGGCCGGCCCCCTCGCCGACTCCTGGAGGCCCGCTCCGCTCAGCCGCCGGCGCTCCTCCATGTGCCCCTCCCCGCGGTTGAGGAACCTCGGGCCCGCCGCGGGCCGTGCCGCCCGAGCCCAACACCACGGGCCTGATCTCCCCGCTGCCCCCTCGGGGCCTCCACCCTCCGCACCCCCTCGCGCGGGAGCTCTTTCATGCTAAAGCCACAAGCGGCCACGCGACTCCAACCAGCAGGCGTGAGGTCCCTGAGCTTGCCCTGTGAAGCGTGCGGCCGATGAGGAGGAGGAGGCGGAGGAGGAAGAGGAGGAGGAGGAGGAGGAGGAGGAGGATGAGGATGCTGATGATGATGAGGAGGAGGAGAAGGAGGAGGAGGAGGAAGAGGAGGAGGAGGATGATGAGGAGGAGGATGAGGAGGAGGGTGAGAGGCTGCTTGAACCAATTGCCTTGAGTCTGACAGAGAGAGAGAGAGAGAGAAAGAGAGAGAGTGCGAGAGAGAGGAGGAGGAAGAGGAGGAGGAGGAGGAGGACGAGGAAGAGCAGGATGAGGATAATGAGGAGTAGGAAGAGGAGGAGGAAGAGGAGGAGGATGAGGAGGAGGAGGAGACGGAGAAGGAGGAGGAGGAGGAGGAGGAGGATAGGGGGGAGGAGGGGAGGAGGAGGAGGAGGAGGAGGAGGAGGAGGAGCAGGAGAAGGAGAAGGAGGAGGAGGAGGAGGAGGAAGGGCAGGAGGAGGAGCAGCAGGAGCAGCAGGAGCAGGAGCAGGAGGAGGACCAGTGTAAACGCAAGAGTCATCAACGATGTTGGAATTTTCCCTCCCTCCCCTCTTCACAGGCCCCTACAACGGTTCATTTCCATTGAGGGAACTGCCTCGTTGGAAGACAACCGTTAGAAGATCCTGAATCATGCCAAAACATTGTTCTCGGGATATCAACGCCACGTATCAACCTGACTGCTGCGTTCTGGCGATCCGGAATCGTGCCACAACGCTATTTTTTGATTTCAACACCGCGAATCAACATAACTGTTGCACCCGCATAATCCTGAATCCTTCCAGAACGCAATGTTTGGTGCGTTGGTCAAGGGATCCAGTGAAACTCTTGCATTTTTTTAAAACAGAATGCGCGCGGCGCTAAGGCGAGAGACGCATTTTGAAAACCATTGGCCCTCAATCCGTGAAGCTCTTGCATTTGTTCACAAATACTGTGCGCGGCGCTAAGGCGAGAACCACATTTTGAAACTACCCGCCCTCAATCCGTGAAGCTCCTGCAATTTTGCACAAAAAATGTGCGCGGCGCTAAGGCGAGAGCCACATTTTGAAAACCACACGCCCTCAATCCGTGAAGCTCTTGCAAGCTTGTGCACTGTGCGCGGCACTAAAGCGATAACCACATTTTGAAAACCACCCGCCCTCAATCCGTGAAGCTCCTGCAATTTTTTACAAAGAATGTGCGCGGCGCTGAAGCGAGAGCCACATTTTGAAAACCACCCGCTCTTAATTCGTGAAACTCTGGCAAATTTTGAAAGCGAATGTGCGCGGCGCTAAAGCGAGAGCCACGTTTTGAAAACGACCCGTCCTCCATCTGTGAAGCTGTTGCCACTTCTTAAGCTTCAGAATCATAAATGGTGAGGAAGTCTCAGGCGAAACGCCCGGCCCGCTCTAAAAACTGGCCTCGGGGTGCGACAGGGAGGAGTTATATATAAAGAGGAAGAATGGAGGAGGAGGAGGAGGAGGAGGAGGAGGAGGAGGAGGAGGAGGGAGGAGGAGGAGGAGGAGGAGGAGGAGGAGGAGGAGGAGGAGGAGGAGGAGGAGGGGGAGGAGGGCGACAAGGAAACGGAGGAGCGGGCGGCACCGCGGAGGCCTCCACCCGGCGTCCCCGCAGCGCATGCGGTGCCGCACGGCCTCGGCGGCCTCGCCGCGCGGAGGGCCTGGACCGTCGAGCTCGAGGGCCTCCGCTGCGCTCGCGGCGGAGGGCGTGCGCACCTTGCAGAACGGCAGCGCCAGCGGACGCAAGCGGGAGGATCGATACCAGCGGGAAGCGCCGGGCGCGGTGCGTGCGGGAGGCAGGAGAAGGAGGAGGAGGAGGAGGAGGAGGAGGAGGAGGAGCAAGAGGAGGAGGAGGAGGAGGAGCAGGAGGAGGAGGAGGAAGAGGAGGAGGAGGATGAGGAGGAGGAGCGGCCGCAGAGGCGGAGACCAGGGCCCGACCGCCGAGGATCGGCGACTGGGGGGAGCGGGGGCGGCCTCGGGGACCGAGCGGGGTGCAGAGCAAAGTGGTGGGCCAGTGGAGAGCTTGCCGCTGAAGAGCGGAGCGGCCAGGCGCAGCCAGGGCTTGCACGCAAGGGGCAGGCTCATCCCCAACATGGAGGCTCGGCCTACGTTCTGGACGCTTCCGCTCCTCCACTGTGGACTTGTCGTTTTGTCATTCTTTGGCACGTTGGCCATCGGATCTGTCGCAGTGAACCGCGAGCGACACAAGGTGGCCCGTAAGCGCCAGTCTGGCACGATGTGCGACAAGATAAAGCATCTGGCGGCAAAGCGCTGGGAATCAGTGCGTCTACTGAACAAGGGCAGAGAAGAGGAGTACCACGTAAGCTGAACAAAACTCGGAGTTGGGACATACACTCGCCTCGAAGGAAGAAGAGGAGGAGTCATGAGTTGGGAGGCTCTCGGAAATTGTGGAGACCTCTGGGAAGCACAGAGGCAGACGGCGGAGGAGGGGGAAGAGCGGCCTCTCCCAAGGACCAGGCTGGCCGTTCGCCAGGGGCCCGCCCTATGTCTGGGGAGTAACCTCACTTCCCAACCAGAGGGAGGAGGGGGAGAAGGGAATGAAGGAGAAGGATGATGATGATAAGGAGGAGGAGGAGGAGGAGGAGGAGGAGGAGGAGGAGGAGGAGGAGGATAATAAACAGTAGGAGGAGAAGGAGCATCAGACTTCGTGGTCGATGTCCCTCAAGCTGTTGCTTCGCGCCGTGCGTGTGGGAAATGGTAATTCTCCGATCGGACGAGAAGGAGGTGAAGGAAGAGGAGGAGGAGGAGGAGGAGCATGAGGAGGACCATCATGCTTCGTGGTCGATGTCCCTCAGGCTGCTCCTTCAGTCTGCGCGTGTGCAAGATGGTATCTGACAGGATCAGGTGAAGGAGGATGAGGAGGAAGAGGGGCGCGGACGAGGATTACGGCAGGATTTTTTACCTAACAGCTCTTGCTGATAGGTTTCTAGTGGTCTCAAAAGAGAGCATCATGACTCCTCAGGGGGGTCTGGGCGGGACCCGGGGAGGCTGCCGTCGAAGCCGAAATCGCTTGGGACATCCTCGCAAAATCGCTCTTGGTGCTCCCAGAACTCCATTCCCGGGCCACATTTTGGATGCCCGGAGCCAACTGTAGGCCACTTCGTGCTCTTCGACTTCCCAGAACTCCATTCCCGGGCCACATTTTGGATGCCCGGAGCCAACTGTAGGCCACTTCGTGCTCTTCGAGTTCCCAGAACTCCATTCCCGGGCCACATTTTGAATGCCCGGAGCCAACTGTAGGCCACTTCGTGTTCCCAGAACTCCATTTGATTTTGAATGCCCGGAGCCAACCACTTCGTGTTCAGTTCCCAGAACTCCATTCCTGGGCCACATTTTGAATGCTGAGGCAGGCTGATGCTGCGGCCGAGGCAGGCTGAGGCAGGCTGAGGAGGCAGGCTGAGGCTGAGGCTGAGGCTGATGCAGGCTGAGGCTGAGGCAGGCTGAGGCTGAGGCCGAGGCTGAAGGCAGACTGAGGCTGAGGCTGAAGCAGGCTGAGGCTGAGGCTGAGGCTGAGGCTGAGGCTGAGGCTGAGGCCTGAGCTGAGGCAGGCTGAGGCTGAGGCTGTGACTGCGACTGCGACGTTGCCGCTGCGACTGTCATCGCGAATGCGACTACGACTGCGAGAACAGCAGAATTCTACAACTGGATTTTCATCTGAATCTTAAGGGGAATGCTTTCAGATATGCTTCTACACATCGCTGTTAGGTTGCTTTGCCGGGATAATTATTGAAGGAGGGACATGAAGGAAAAGGCGACCACAATATCTCTCGAGTAACCCGTGCACTCCGTGGCGATACGCGGCAGAGACTAAGCAGTGGCTTAAATTACAACAGCATCCAATACAGATTACAAAAACCACTGGCGAGAAGAGGAGGAAGGGAGGACGAGGACTAGAAGGAGGACGAGGAGGAGGAATAGGAAAGGACGCCAAACGCATGTAAACTGGGAACGTCGCTATCGCCAGCCTGCCATAGGCGACCACAAGCTACGGACCTGGGCCTGGAAGACTGGACGGGGCGGACTGTGTGTGGACATCCCCCGAGGCCAGGACGGCCCCCAAGTGCCGCAATCGAAAGCGCAATGAGCGCGTGAAGCAACTACTTCAGGAGAGAGGAGAGGGGATAGAGAGAGAGGGCGGCGCCGCCTCGCCGAGCCGCGCGGCTGGACCGTCCAGCCGACTTGGGCGACGGGGACTCCACCGAGGAAGAGGGGGGGAGGGACGGAGGGGAGGAGAGGGGGAGCGAAGAAGAGAGACATGCTGCTGACGCGCTGTGCCAGAAGTACCAACACCGATACCAAAAGACTGCGCTGAGATCAAGGACAAGCGCATGCTGAAGCAGGCAGGGGAGGAAACGGCAGGGGGGAGACATCCCTAGACACTGAAACGGGCACCGCAACACCGACGTCAGATGCACTTCGCGCTCGCGCCGGACGTCGTGGCTCGCTCCGGGCAGCGGGGCAGGGCTGTCCTGCGAGCGTGGCCCAAACTTTGACCGCAAAGTTGCGCAGAGGGTAGGGAAGAGGGAGGGAGGGAGGAGGAGGAGGAGGAGGAGGAGGAGGAGGAGGCGGAGGATGGGTGGAGGAGGTGGAGGAGGTGGAGGAGGAGGTGGAGGAGGAGGAGGAGGAAGAGGAGGAGGCGGAGGAGGAGTAGGAGCAGAAGGAGGAGAGGAGGAGGAGGAGGAGGAGGAGGAGGAGGAGGAGGAGGAGGAAGAGGGGGAGGCGGAGGATGAGTAGGAGCAGAAGGAGGAGGAGGAGGAGGAGGAAAAGGAGGAGGAAGAGGATGAGCAAGAAAACCATTTACTACACATCACGGGGCCTCCTGCGCGCGAGCGCGAGGAACGAAGGCGTCTTGGGATAGCCCGGCGCGGCCTCCCTCACGAAACCGGGAAAAACACCTCCTGCATTTCGGTGGGCAGCCCAAACCCGTGTCGCGCGCTGACGTGCACGCGGTACAACGCAAAAACGGCGATGGCACGCAATACCTCAGCGAGCGAAGAACGGTATAAAATACACTTTTTCGCCGTCGGGGACACCTGCCCCTGGGCGGCTGGAAAGTTTATACCCCTACGGTGCCACCGTAAGGGTATAAACTTTCCAGCCGCCCTGGGGCAGGTGCCCCCGACGGCGAAAAAGTATATCTTATACCGTTCTTCGCCCGTTAAATACCGCGCATGCTGCCCGCGCCTCCGCCGCTGGGAACACTGCCAGAAGAGCCGCTAGGTACGGGGCTACTCCCAAAAAGTCCTCCAAGCACTGAGGCCGTGGAGGCGTGCTGAGACCAAGGCGGCGCCCGCATAGCTGGTGAAAACACCCGCATCCAGCGTATTGCTCGATACTGTCTTCTCCCCGGGAGCAACCCAAGACGCATCGCCCAACACCCTGCCAAGGGAAACCGCCGAGTGGTCACCTGACCATTGCAGACTGTGCCGGAGCGGCCGCCAGTACACGGGGCGGGGCATGCGCAGCCAAGGTCTTGAACGTTGTCACCACCCTGGCAACCAGACGCCCTGGAAGTGTGGGCGAACTCCGCCGATCCAGCTTGCGACGAAGGCGATCAACAAAAGCAGCCCCGTCCAGACGAGCACGTGGAAGTCCAGTCGCTCTGGCCTGCCAACCATCATGATCGAACCCAGATGCTGAGGGGAGATACGGTCCTGGTCCGCTTCTTAGCGTGTAGCTGGGAATACGCCTCTACACGCTAAGTGTTCCGCACTCCAAGTGTTTCGCCCTCAGCGTGTATCCTGCGTGGTTGGTGCATAGCGTATATCGGAGGTCTGTTTCACCCGACCCTACTTAACGTGTGCGCTCCTGCGTTGCTTAGCGCGTCAACGGCCTCGGTTTCGCAGGGCCCGGAATCACATACACGCTAAGCGCAGGACCGTGTCCGTAGAGGGAGGGAGCCTTTCGTCTCGGCGCGCGCCAGAGCTGGAAAAGCAATAGCCCCCAGCCACCCCGGCCGGGCGAGTGTCCGAGCGCGAGGCTCCTTCGCGTCCTTGTCCTCGTCGTTCAGCCCGAGCTCTCGCACCAGCTCCAGCACGTCGTCGCGGGTCACGCCGCCAGGCTCCTGCAGGTCGATGGCCACGAACCTCGGGGGGGGCGCCGCACGAGGGGGGGGGGCCCAGAGACGCCCTGCGACGGAGGCGGGCCGGTGGAGACCACGGCGGCTTTCCCTCGCGTTCCGGGCTCTTGCTCAAACATTGTCGGAGGTATTCGAAGGCTTTTCGGAGGCTGCAGCACCCGGGATGGTCCCCATCAGCTGCGCCTCGTCGCGGGCCTTCCGGGGAGGCTGGAATCGTCCCGAACTGCTGCCTGAGGCACGAGTGCACGCCGGTTGGAAGAAGTGGGTGAAAACATGAAGTAGGAAGGCGTATTAAGTTGATTGGGTCCAGGCCCACCCAGAGAATAACAAAGCACAGCACAAGCGTGCCGATTCTTGAAGTAGGAAGGCGCTTGAAGTAGATTGGGATCTGGGAATACAGAAGTACCTACTTTCATCGACTGGCGTGTAACCGCCCCAGAGCACTCTGAGGTGGGCACGTCGAGACATCGGCGGCTCTCCTCGGCGCTGCTCGTCCTCTGGTAGGCCTCCTGGAGGCTTCTCGTCGCCACGGCTGGATTTAAGTCGGGCGTGTCCCCCTACAGGGGGATTTTGGAATAACTATTTGAAAAATATAAAAAATACTCAAAAGATGCCCAACAATACTCAAACAATAGTCCCCAGACTATTTTTTACTATTTTTGAATACTCCTCCTGTGGAGGGACAGGCCAGACTTAAGGCTGGATGCGCGTCGAGGAACGGGTCATGACGGATCCCGGGAGGGGTCCCGGGACGGATTCTTAGCGGACCTTGGCCGCGCGGGTGGGCGAGCTGCCGTTGTCTCCACGGGCCCTTCTCCGAGCATCATGGCCCGAGACCTGTGCGCGGATGACGGGGAGGCAGGGGGACGTCTCAAGAGAAGGAGACGGTGTTATAATATGAAGCCAAGACGAAGATAAAATCGGGTGAGGATAGACCGAGAATCTCTGAGATCCGGCGGCTCTGGAGGATGTCTCGGGAACCGCGGCCTTCTCAGAACGTTCCAGAACGCTCTGAGAATATTCCGGAACGCTCTGGAACGGAATTATCATTTTCTTAGCCAGGCCGCCGAGTATCGGAATTATCCTCGTCCCAGCCCCGCCCGAGGGACGTCTCGAGAGAAGGAGAAGGCGCCATGAGATCTGGGAGACATCGTGGTTCCGGCCACGGTGTCCCCCCCCAGGTCTTCACCCGCTTCCTTTGGTCGCCTCCCAAGAGCCACTCTGCGAACGCGGCGACGAGCTCGCCAGGGAGCCCCATGGGATCGACCACGGCGTTCCCCTCCGCCTCCGAGGGCCCCCGCGGCGGATAGAGCGGCAACCGCCGCCACCGCTCTAGCAGCAGCACCTCCGTGCGGTGCAAGTTGTAGTTGGCCTTCGGTAGCGATTCATGGGAGCCGCGTCGATTAGCGTTGAACTCCGTAACTCCATCTTCAATATATACCCGCGTCGATTAGCGTCTGCTGGTCGATCAGATCGCGCCGACTTAGCTTCGATGAGCGTTGATTCAGCATCGATTGACACGAGCCAACGAGATGGTGGAGGCTCCCATGAATTGCCACCGAAGATGGCCTGGTTGAAGTAGTACAGGAAGACGACCCCAGAGACGCCGCTGCCGAGGTAAAGGAAGAACTTGCCCCACCCCATTGGCCCGTCCTTCTTGTCCTCCTTCGGGGATCTTCTGACCCGGGTAAATGCAAACCCGGGTCAGTCGGGCCTTGCAGGATCCTGCAAGGTCCTGCAGGATCCTGCGCCCAAGCCCAGGTCAATGAGCCCCTGGCCCTGCAGGATCCTGCAAGATCTGGCGCTCTGGCTGACCCCCGTTTGCATTAGGTCGGGCATGTCCCCCTACAGGGGGATTGTGGCCGAGAATCAAAAATACCCCCCAAATGTCCAAAACGTATTCAAAACTTATCAAACATCGTCCTCATACTTTTTTTGGAACTATTTTTGAATATTCCACCTGTAGATGGACAGGCCCGACTTATCGTTTGCATTGACACAGGTCTCTTGAGCCCCGACTCCTCCTTCTTGCCCCCAGCGCCAGGCGCGCCGTCCGACCCCGCGGCCGTGCTGCCCCCAGCAGGGGCCTGTGCGGCCTGCACCGGGGTTGCGGCCGCGGCGCCTCGGTGGCGAAAGTTCTATTATGGCTCGATATGTACTTATATGTAGATTCACAAACATATTTATCGATACACATCTCCCCTACATATATCTATATATATGCCATGTACACGACGTAACTGTTATTGCGTACATGATGCGCATGTGCTTTCACGTCGATGCAAGTATCTACGTGCTTGTATATACACAACACGGCATTTTGCACATACGTCCACACACACATTAGGAACACCTTTTTGGGAGGGTCTGCGGGTCGAGAGCGGGCCTCTTCCGGTTAAGAGCTAGGCGGGGCGCGCAGAGCACTCATTGGGGAGAACGCATATGTACCCCAGCTCTCCGATGCCCCGATCTTGCCAGTGCGCGAGGCTCCAGAGCTCCAGGGGTGGGCCCCAGGGGGGGTCCCGGAAGCGATGTGGAGCGGATCTGAGGGGGGGGCGGAGGAGGAGGAGGAGGAGGAGGAGGAGGAGAGGAGGAGGAGGAGGAGGAGGAGGAGGATTTGAGGATGAGGCGAGGCTCCAGAGCTCTCGACCTCACCCTTCGTGTGCCCCCCGCGCCGCGAGCCGCCTCCTGCCAGGGCCCCGGGGCCCGAACGCGGCCCCCGCACGGCGCGGACAGCACGGACCCACCGCCCCGGCGGCTTCTTTTTTTTCGCGACCGCCGAAGGCTCGATGCTCCTCCTCCTCCTCCCTCTCCTCCTCCCTCTCCTCCTCTCCTCTCCTCCTCCTCTCTCCTCCTCCTCCTCCTCCTCCTCCTCATAACGTGTCAGCGCCAACCTGGCCATCGCTCGGACGTCCATTCCCTGTGCTTTTTTCGGTTTCGGGCGTGTTTTTTTCGCCGAAGCAAGGATGCTCCTCAATGGTCATCGCCGGAGGAAGAAATGCACACGTCCGAGCGATGCCAAGCAACGCGTGCTTGCTCACCGACGCCCCTCAAGACCATGCAAGTCATGAAATGAGGGGCGGCACGAGCTGTCGGCGGAACCGAGCGGGGTCGACACACTTTGGGCGAACACACACGCCCCGAGGACCATCGAAAGGTCTGGGATCCCTCACCCGACGTCCGACGTCGGGTAAAAAAACCCGACATCGCGGAACTGCGGCCAGAACTCTCGACCGTGTCCTTCGATGTGTGTTGTTGGGGGCCCGATCGATCCGTGAGGGCCCTGGGGGCCCGAAGTGGTTCCCGACGCACGGATGTCAGGGTCGAGCCTCCCCCAAAAGACCTCCTCCCTCACAATCGGCACCCGGGACCTCTCCCAGAGCGCGCTCTGACGGGGAGTTCGAGGCGGATCTAGCAGTGGCGACGAGGGCCCCCCAGAAGGCCCAGAACAGGAGGAGAAGGAGGAGGAGGAGGAGGTCTCTGGAGGTTCACGGTCTCGAGAGAGGGATGATTTCATTGTTGATGATGATGGTGATGGTGATGGTGATGGTGATGATGATGATAATGAGGAGGAGGACGATAAGGATGATGACGATGATACTGATGATGATGGTGATGATGAGGATAATGACGATGGTGGCGGTGATGATGCTGATGATGATTATGCTGAAGCTGCGGCTGCTTTTGCTGAAGATGCTGCTGATGATGATGACGACGAGGATGAGGATGAATGGATGGACAGCGTCTTGAACGGTCGAGAGGTGACAGTACCAACAGAATGGAGGGGGATCAACCCGAGTTCAACCCTATTTGGCATCCTTCGCAGCCGCTTCTTTGGCCTTGATTCTGGCCAACACCGTCGCCATTCCCTGCTCATGTGGGGGGGGGACAGGGCGACCGAAAAAGCTCGTGGGACTGAGGTGACACTGGACTCAGGATTAAAGGAATACCCTTCAATCTCGAGTCGTGACACAGGCAACGCCTCATCCACGATCTCGCGCAAACGCAGATCAGGTCCGAGGCCACGCCTCAAAAGACTGGGGACATCCAGTCCCTTACGCGTGGGCTTACCGAAGGCCTGAGCGAGCTTTACCTGTCCGCCCCTGACTTCACCCTCCGCATTTTTAAACACAGAACCTGCTACTCCCGACAACGGTCCCCGCAGGCCCCAGACCAAGCAGTTTTTAAGGCCGGGCCAGCCACAGCAACGAGGAGGTGCCCTTTGGGACTTTTCAGCAGTTTCATCAGAACAGGAGGCGGGCCACGACAACCAGTCATGGGCCTATCGGGCGGATCACACACCATCCAACACTGCCTGCACTGCATACCTAGCTCCGACCTTCGCCACAAATGCCAGTTCCGACTCCGTGGACTGCGTCCGATTGCATGAAACGGGGCTCGCTTCCATGTGCGGTCAATCTGATACAGCGGGAGGATGGCAGAAGCTAACTTAACAAACGCATTGGCACGTTTCAGCACGCTCCAAGAAAACAGGATCAGGAGTAGGATGGCCCAGCAGGGCCTCCTTGGCGTGCTGGTCCACAACACGATTCGCAAAAAGCCTCGAGTTCCTCAAAGTCTCGATGGAACTTCACATGAAAGGTGGATACGAACTCCGTGCCTGGTAACTCCTGGGCCAACCTACGCGCACCTGTCCAGGACTTCGGTCTACAGATGGACCAGCGTTCACTTGTAAGGCTGGGAGGACGAGTAATTACGAGGTTTGCCTTGCCATGTCATGAAACAAACAGCCTTTGAAATTTCTGCCAGCTGGCATGACATTTCCATGGGCCCTGTAGTTGCGAAACTTGTTTCTGTGTTCATACAACCTATGCGAGGATGATGAAAATTGCCAGCTTCCCCACTGAGGGAAAGGGGGGACCCCACCATGCGAAGCATTGGCGGCGCGCAGAAGGGGGATGGGGGGAGGGGGGAAAGCTTCTTAGAAGGGGCTGCTTCTTAGAAGGCGCCGGCTTTACATCTGTAGATACGGCCCGCGCCCTCTAAGAAGCAGGGGTGCTTCTAAGAAGCTCTCCCCCCTCCCCCCGCCCCACTCTGCGCGTGGCCGAAAGCACCAGCCACGAGGCAGAGGAAGGAGAGTGGGCAGCGTGGTTGCCACACTTGGTTGATGCACGCGTTGGCAACTTGAAGCCCTGGCCCACGTCAAAAGTAGAGAAGCACCGGCCCCTCATCGTGAGCAACGCGAGCCGCGCGAAGCGCACCCCTGGCCGCAGCGCTCCAGGCGAGCCACGCCTCGCGTGCATCGTCGTGCGGTGCGGTCTCGGGGATAGGACTCCCCGCCGTCGGGTCTCCCGCCGATGTGGGAGAGACCCCATTCACTTTGGCCGTCGAATGCAGGTGGCCCTTCAGGATGCGAGGTCGGTCCACCAGCCGACACGAGAGACGCTTTTTCGTCAACACCTTCAGGACAAGGCTCGCCTTCACGTGGGGCCGCGGGGAAGGTCCCCGCCTCCGTCTGATTTCCAACTGACATGGGAGAGCCGTCGTGCCCTGCAGCCCCAAGGATCTCGGGAGCGGCCAAGAGGGGGGCGTCCAAGAGGGGTGTGTGCAAATCATGACCGGCGGGTTGTGCGCGGCCCAGCGGAGGGGCCAGGGACGTAATGAAATAAGAAGAGGCGCCATGAAATCTGGGGAAATATCATGGCCCGCGCCATGAGATCCACCCCCCCCTGGTCATCCCCCCCTCTTTGCCGCCCCCGAAGATCGTGTGAGGCCACGGGGGTGTCCCCTGCCTCCGTCGGCATTCCAACCGGCAGGGGGGGACCGCGCGGCTCCCGGGCCGCCCTCGGGCGCGCCGAGCCCGTCGCTGCCCCCGGCGACGGCGCCTGCGCCGGCGCCGCGCGCGCCCGCGGAGAGCACGGCAGCGCCGACAACCGAACCATCGAGGCAGAGGGCTCCAAGCCCTTGCCCCAGGGCACACAAAGAAATGCACACCAATACGAACATCTCCCATCTTTTCCCCTATTTTCGGGGTTTCTGTCTCCCCCCCCACTTCCCATGCTTTCCCCTATTTTCGGAGGAATCGAGGATTCATTGTGTCTGTGTGTTTTTTCCTCTCCTGATTGATCCGCCATCGGCCGGTCCAAATCGCCATTTTCGTTTCTGCTGTGAGCCGTCGACCGCAACTGCCGCGTGAGACGGAAATATTGGTGGAAGGGGGCCCAGGCGACGCCGCCGTAGGGCCAGAAGGGGCGCCTTCGCGGTCCGCCCGAGACCGCCTCGTGATCTCTTGAACCTGCGCGACAAACTCATCCCCAGTAAGAGCTGGCCCAGAATGGCGCGAATAATCGGCGTTGCGCATGGTGTCGTTCCCGTAAGGCGCTTCGCATGACTCGACGTGCTCACCCGCCATCTGTTCGTCCTCTCCTTCTGTCATGCCCACGAGTGCAAGTGCCAGCGCCGTCAGACCCGCAAGGCGCAGGATCAATCCGTAGATGTGGCAGAAGGTGATGATGTGGCTGAAGGGAAAGCTCAGGACCCGAGTTGAGGGTCCGCTGGGTAGCTTTGAGATCCGCCTGCTCGTTCGTTGCCATTCTGGCGATGTTTGAGACTCGCCGTCTTTGCCGAAGATGTGCGAGAGTTCGTTGACGAATGGAAGTTATGCGCTTGTCGTCGTGCACGGGCCACGGCGACCTCAAGTGCATCTTCATCTGCGTGCGCATCTGTTCCATCTGCCTGTCGGGCCAGTAGGCGCCCCAGGGGTGTCTCGTGGCGATGCGCTGACCAAAACCTGAAGACCTGAACGCAAAATCAGATCCGACACAAATGGGACGCACCACTCCATACACTGTTGAAAATCGCCGCCCTCGAGGCTGACGAGCAGAGTCGAAATCCAATTCTGCGTCCAGACGGAAATGCGTTCTGACAGATCTCGACGACGTAGCTCGAGCTGTGGAGGCAAAGGCAGCGACCGCCCCGCGCTGTGACCAGCTCTCGTCAGTGGCGACGACAAAGCGGGGAGGCCAGCCCTGGATTTCCAGGGCCCTGAGGCACAGACATGAACGTGGAACATGCACCCGGACACGACAACGGGACTTGCGATCTAACGCCCGGGGCATCGTCTCTACCACCTGCTCCGCCAGGGTAGGGTGGCGGACGATG